TACTACCTAGTATTCAATGACTACCCGTTGTGATCGAGTTTTACTCATTTGTTGTTGTCATCCAACTTGATAAGAATGCGTCCCCAGACACGACACTATAACTAACTGGTTATTTGTAGACATTCACCAACTTGAGATGGACACGACATGCTTTTACCATTTTGATTATTATCATTATTCAAAATACAGGGCATACACGGTACAATGATCTCCGGAAATCCAAGTCATAAATGAATAATCAATTTTTCAGTTGTTGTACATAACTAAGACCTCGGAAACTGAAGTCTAATATAGGGCAGTCGAAAACTATCCGTTCAGGTTTTAAGTGCCGATGTCAACCTCTAAATAGTCTTTAACGTCAGCACCTACTAAACTTGCTTTCCCCAGATAACCCTGATCAGTACTCTACCTAACGTGTAAGCACCGATAAACGAACTCGAAGTAAAAAAAACTTGTGACTAGGTTGTATGCTCAGGTTAGGATTATATTTAACAACAGATTAAATGTCAAATTTAATAAATAAGAATACTGTACAACTTCTCTGTTAACTGACTGGGGTAGCAAACTCAAGAGTGTGCTTGGTGATAGCGCAACGAGGGAGAACGCCACATGCGAGCAGCCACACCGGAAGGACAGTGAAGGCGCAGCACCATATTACATGAATGCGTCAAAACAAAAATTCTAACATTCAAGGCGCACGACAGGTTATCTCCAATTTAGAAGGTTGGCGGGATGCCACTGTAGCGGTAAATAGTTCCCCAAAATTATTAACCACAGCAATCATCACTCAACATTGGATGCTCACCATCACTGTTTAAGTCGACTTGTTTAGCTGAAGGCTTCCGGTCAAGCATCCCCGCCATTTGGTACTCCGTCGTGTCACGTGCGTGCACGATTACTAGCTAGCTAAGCATTCACTTCTACCCTCGATTTTGTCCCGAAATATATCTCGTATTTGGACGACAAAATCTGGTCTTTTGCTTTATCTTTGGTACTCGAAGAACGAACACTATAGAAGTTGTTGGTATAAGATCTTGCGTTAGTATAATCCGTACAACTCGCGAACGTCGATACCTGCAACCTTCGATACACGAAAGCACTGGGTCGAGAGATAACGGTTTGTACAATAACACTCAAAGAATAGGGAAGATTGAAGAGAGTAATAAAGAAGTGTGAAAAGAAAGAAACAAAAGTTCAAGGGTAATGGGATGGGGGCGGTATGTACATGATTGGCGGTGTGCAGCGAAACATAAGATGGAATGACGCTGGTGTCTTCATGCGATTTCAAAGTTTTAAGCTGTTTTGTTCTTGTTGATATTCTTTTTATATTTTTGCCAAATATACCAGCGGAGTAGAAAGAACAAGGTAAAGGAAAAGAAAATGGAAGTGGCTAAGATTTCAAAATTGGCAAAAGATTACTACAAAAGCTTGTGCCGAATAAATGCAAGGAATCATGGTGAAAAGTTAAACGCCAAGCTGAAACAAAACAGAGGAAATTGCTAACGGTAAGGAAATTCATGAAAGTTACACGGACAACATGTGGAAAGAATCAAAAGTGATGAGTAATTACAATTAGTAAAAGAAAAAAATGTTGCGAGCTGGATAACTAAAATGGTGAAAAATGTTTACAAATACGGCTCACAGAATGAATCAGTTTCAGCAGGTCATAACCTCGAGTGAACATGCCAAAATCTGTCAAAGTAGATTGAGCGGGTTAAAAATTACAGAATAGAAGTGACAAGTACGCACAAGAATACAAAATGGTCCATGCAACTGTACAGAACAAGTTTTTTATACATGTTGTTTAAGAGAGTTTTTTTTGTTTATATTTTTTAAAGATTTTTTGACACCTTTTCTTTAGTTTTTTCAAACGCAGCACCGTCTGTAATCCTGTAAATGATGGAAATCTCGAGACGAAAGAAAAGCCAACATCTCGAACCGCTTTAAGTGAGATTCAAGATACACTGTGATAATTGGTATAAGAAAACAAAGAAAATTCATCCACGTTATAAAAATGCTACTAGAACTCTGGAACGAAAAAAATTCAAAAGGTTTAGTACTGGGAAAAATGACTACTGCCACAACAAAATCAAGAAAAGTAATTACCATAAGAAATAATTACAGTAACCTGGGAGATTAAATTAAAAACACCTAAATAATGTTAAACACGAACAAAACAATTCCAACAGTGGTGTGAACACGGGCAGTAATTTCGCTCGAAATATTACCAATAACAAAACTTATCCCTGTGTAAACTAGTGATATATAATTATACTTTATTTGATGAAATCGTTAGTTAATAAATTCAGCGTACCGCATGGGCCAGTGTACGCGTCGACCTGTTCGTATAACAGGTGCTTTAGGTGTTGTAGCAAACTTACCAGGGGTTATAGGATGTTCATCCACGGTATCTGGCTTGGAATTAGACGCGGGAGAAGTTGTTGGATTAGAAAGAGGGGAGGGTAATGATTCTTCTATGTATACCGCTTTAAAACTGTCTAGGTTGACTGTGTCATGGAGGCCGAATCGACCGAAGGATTTTTCCTTTCTACTAATAACCCTGAAAGGTACATCATAAAGGGGTTGCAGTAGTTCACGTACAGCGTCACAATGTATGGAAACATGGGTGCAGTCCTCAAGTCTATCGTCTACTTGCACCTTCTTGTACTGGGCACGGGTGGGAGTTGGTTGGTGTCGTTGTATAGTGCGTTTTAGATGCTCAGCATAACAGTGGACATCAATAACACCTGGCTCAGCACTGTCTGACGAAATCATCTCGCCAGGCAAATGGAGTGTGGTTCCAGATACCAACTCTACAGTGGTACACTCGATATCAAACTTGAGCGCTGAACGGATGATAAGGAGGACCAAGGGAAGGAACTCTGTCCCTTTGATGTTGTCGACAGCCACTAATACGGCTTTAAGTTGTAGATGACAACGCTCTACTACTCCATTTCCAGATAGACGATATGCCGTTGTTCCGATGCTTGTGAACTTTAGCGCGTCGGCATTTCATACAAGCACGAACCGAAATACGCACATTAAAGAAAACTGTATGCTCGGACGACTAAGTATAAAAAGACTGTACAATGCCTTATTTGTTAGGAACACATTCTTCATCTAATGAGAAAAGTGTGTCAGGCATGAGACTATTATTAACTTACTGCGAAACACGGGGAAAACGACCGCTCTTAACTCTCTCTCTCACATTATTACACTGATGTTAATATTTTCGGTCAATTTAACTTTATATTCGTAATCGTATTAAATAATAATATTATCAATATAAATGACCTGTGTTTCAATGATTACTCGTGTGATGAGACGAAGATTAGGTGCAATGCTGTACTGCACGCTGACAATTCCATATTTCCTATAAGAAGTACCGTTCGGAATACGGCGATTAATATTATTATTATCATTATTACTGCTACTATTACTATTATTAATATTCCTACTATCATTATCATTATTATGATTCATTCGCTCAAGTCATCCATCGCCCACATCTAACTCATACACTCCCTCCCCTCCATCCAATAAACTATACAGATTCCAATAACAATGAATACGTGGCCACACACCAGACAAGAAGAGGTAGAAGAAGGAGGGGAAGAAAGGAATATCAGAGAGCAGGTGATTACATCAAGTCGACCAGTAAGCGACACGAAGATACAAAATTCTGAAGATATTGAAAATGCAATCGGTGTAGTGATGATATGTGTAGTCATCGATCTACTCTCGGTGATAATACTACTTCCAACTTACTGTTTAGACAAGAAAATACAACAGAACAAGAGGCGCGTGATGAAAATGCATCCGGGAGAAATCGACTAGCTAGTGTGAACAAAAATGAAGAGACGATGACACAAAATGAATGGTCACATGGTGCAGAAGGCGTTGCCGCCAATCATCCCACTCTCCGCCGCGTCAGGGCATTCCAAATTCTAGTAATGTCACTAATAGCGACAATAATACAGTTAACCCATCATTGATGATTCAAGGTGATAAACGATATAAATGTGAATACTGCGGTGAAATGCGCAGTAATATTACAGTACATGACGTATACATACTGGTGAGAAACCGCATGCAACAATACGGTTTCTCACCAGTATGTATACGTCATGTACTGTAATATTACTGCGCATTTCACCGCAGTATTCACATTTATATCGTTTATCACCTTGAATCATCAATGATGGGTTAACTGTATTATTGTCGCTATTAGTGACATTACTAGAATTTGGAATGCCCTGACGCGGCGGAGAGTGGGATGATTGGCGGCAACGCCTTCTGCACCATGTGACCATTCATTTTGTGTCATCGTCTCTTCATTTTTGTTCACACTAGCTAGTCGATTTCTCCCGGATGCATTTTCATCACGCGCCTCTTGTTCTGTTGTATTTTCTTGTCTAAACAGTAAGTTGGAAGTAGTATTATCACCGAGAGTAGATCGATGACTACACATATCATCACTACACCGATTGCATTTTCAATATCTTCAGAATTTTGTATCTTCGTGTCGCTTACTGGTCGACTTGATGTAATCACCTGCTCTCTGATATTCCTTTCTTCCCCTCCTTCTTCTACCTCTTCTTGTCTGGTGTGTGGCCGCGTATTCATTGTTATTGGAATCTGTATAGTTTATTGGATGGAGGGGAGGGAGTGTATGAGTTAGATGTGGGCGATGGATGACTTGAGCGAATGAATCATAATAATGATAATGATAGTAGGAATATTAATAATAGTAATAGTAGCAGTAATAGTAATAATAATAATCGTCGTATTCCGAACGGTACTTCTTATAGGAAATATGGAATTGTCAGCATGCAGTACAGCATTGCACCTAATCTTCGTCTCATCACACGAGTAATCATTGAAACACAGGTCATTTATATTGATAATATTATTATTTAATACGATTATGAACATTAAGTTAAATTGACTGAAAATATTAACAACAGTGTAATAATGTGAGAGAGAGAGAGTAAAGAGCGGTCGTTTTCCCTGTGTTTCGCAGTAAGTTAATAATAGTCTCATGCCTGACACACTTTTCTCATTAGATAAAGAATGTGTATCTGACAAATAAGGTGGTGTAGATTTTTTTATACTGTCATAAAGTCTTCTATAATTGCGTCTAGTTCTACCTGATGAGATAGATGCAAGGAGAGCTGTGTGTAGAGAGTATGCGCAGGGTCTGACAGGACAATATTCGCCAAGTTTATTGCATGAAACCATTTGTCTGTTAACAACAGCGGTTTTAACGAGTTGGTTTCGCAACATAACACTCGCCCTAATGAGTTTTTTCCGTGTCCTTCACAGTGTAACAAAGTCCTTTTCAGGTAGTCCACGAAAGATCAAGCTGTGGGGAACAATGGAAAAGCATAGGTAGAATACAAGTATTAACAAACTTACAAAGTAGACACTGACTGATACCAGACCATTTTAAATGTCTTCAGTAGGATGTTGAACGAAATCTGTCCCCTTAACTCTCTCAATTAACGTGATCTGGGAAGACGAGGAAAGATCAAAGGAGGAACATAATCCGAGGTTTTATTTAGCATTCGATTTAACCCCAAAGTCTGTGCCATCTATGATGGTGGAACCAGGCGAACGAACCAGTTTTATAGCAGTCGCACTTTTGTCTGTAAGGGAAATTAACATCTTGATATTTACAGGGATTTAGCTTAAGACAATTTAACAAGGACTGCTGACCAATTTCCAATAAAACGTTATTTTGGAACAATCTCGCAGAGTAGTAACGCACGTAGCAACAATCAGATCATCGTTATACTTAGGGAAATTGTTTTCATCAAACTGAGGTAAATAAGTCACTTAATGAGAAAGAAAACACAAAAGGAGAAAGAAGAGCAGCTTGATTGAGGAAAACCAGCTAGAGTGAGTAGAGCAGTGAAGGACTACCTACCATATACACTGTACTGTTACCTATCAGAGAAGTAAGAATACAAGCACTTACTGCTATACTAGTCCAACACTCTACAAGGAAGTGTCCCAGTAAGCTTGTTTAACAAAACAGGCCTAGGTACGATGTAGGGGTTCTAGGCTCACGCCTCAAGGTGAAAACAGAAACTTCACTCAAGTCAGTTAGTTCCTCTATATGGTTCAGAGACCTGGAGCGTCACCGAAAGCATGTCCAACAGGCTACTTTAAACTTTTGTCAACAGTTGCCTCCACTACGTACTGAAGGTCAGATGGCCGGTCCGGTCAGAAAGGATTAATAACAAGGGAACGAATCAACCAAGAACCCATCGACAAGTGAATATTCTGAAGATTGGTTGGACACACCACTGAGGTGACTGTTGAGTGAAATCACGCACCAGGTCCTGCAGTGGAACCCGGATGGGGAAATGCGAGACCGGCGTAGGTATAAGAGTGACATAGAGAAAAAATCGGTGTGAAGAAGCAATGAAAGTCTATGGACAATCGTAAAGCCAGATAAAAAAATACAAAGAACATAGTGAAATAGACATGTGCATTGACTCACGTGCTATGTTCCACTCAAAACCCAAGGGAATAATAATAAGGTACTAGTAAAAGACACAAACGTTGATTAGCGTGCGTTTACCTTTTCAAGTGCTTCCCTTATGATTGCTTCCCTCAAATCTTTGGTTTCATTTTCAAGATATTCTGAAAATCTAATATGACGTAATAATTCTCCTCGTAATTGAACGATTGTAGCTTGGGACGACGTCAGGTTACACGACTGATTAGTTATAGAAAAGCTGGTCACAGACACCATTGCTGTAGCGATTGTATCAGCGTCAGCATAAGCTGAGCAATCAGACGTCTGTGAAGAGTCAGTAAGATGACAACTAGTATGAGTGCATCATTTGACGTTTGACGACGCTAACCATGAGCGCAAAACAGCAGCTTCTTTACGCACACTGGCAAGTTCACCGCTTAAATCTTCCCGAAGGTGAGTATCCCCATCTATAAGATTTTGATAGTGATGTATACTATCCTGCAAAGAAAAGAAACAGACAAGACTTTCGAAGTAAAACTAATCGTTTTTACTCTAAGAATTCTTACTAAATAAAAAAGTGATTAGTAGCTAACACATATTCATTAAATTAATTTAACAAATATATACCTCAAAATTTTATGAATCTCATAAATACCAGGTATCGAATTCAATTTAAATACACAACTTTCAAATCTTCAGGAAGTTAGGAAACGGTTGTTCCATAGAATCAACACACAATAGCTCAATGCTGTAAAGTCCACGAATACCAATTTTAAGTGACTAAGTCAAGCTACATACATATCAGCCATTTACAGTTTAGAAGGCTGACGGATAACAGAAAAGTTAAGTTATAAACAATACGTCTGTTGAAAGTGACAATTATTTGTTGTCACAATCTTCATGTGTTTGTGTGCATTTAACCTTTAAAAAATTGTATAAATAACAATATTTGTAGAGTATTCAGATGACAAGTCCTAACGAAATTCTCATGAATTCACTAAATACTGCTTTTTACGCTGTTGTTGCTCGTTTCAAAGTTAAGTCTGTTGAGAAAGTCGCTGCTGGATAGATAGAGGGAAAATGACCCTGTAACTTCTTGGCTGAAAGTTGAGTGTCTAGACGTGTACATCAAGCTACCCTATATGGGGCATAATAGCAGCTTGATAACTAGACAAAGACTGAACGCTGCTGTTAAAAAGACTTTTTATGCAGCATATAAGAATAATAATAATTGAGAATGTGAAGCCAATATATCTATCTAAGCCCTTCAAACATGCGAAAAATGACGTCACATCCCACTGTATTTACCAATTTGAATGTACGTGTGGACACACATACATAGGGAGGACTCATCGACCTCTGCAAGTAAAGGCTTCAGAGCATATTCTTAAATGGCTCCAGAAACAAATGGAATCTTCAGAACCCATTAACAGGAGACCTAGCTCCTCTGTTGAGAAAAATATTATAGAGACAGGACATAAAGTTGACGTTAACAGATCTTTTAAACCTATCTATAAAACGTGTTTGGGGCGTATCCTAAAGTTTGTGGGAGCCCTAGAAATTAGAAAGTTTTAACCACCTTTATACCTTCAAAAACAATTCGTCATCACATTAAACCTTCCTTGGTAAATTTTGTTTTGTTTTGACATTATAGCAGATGTACTATTACCTATGCCTTTCGGCGATTTCAGCGAGAATTATTACCAAATCGCGTTCGATATTGGCTGGGCGTTCATTTCTGTCATCCATTACTTAATACAGAGTGTTGACAACTATTAAAATTATTGCAGGATAGAACAGCATTATCGTTATTTTGTCAGTGTATGTCAGGAACAGTGGATGCAGGCTTACTCTGTCTCTCAATCAACCAGGACTTAAACATAAGCACTGCATCGAGGAGGTTGGAGTAATGTTTCGCGACCCGGTGACAGTTAGCCTGTAAGACAAACAATGGCTGTGATATCAATTACCACAAATATTTGTACGCGTCAGTAGTAGGGTGTATTACTAAACTATAGGCGTTTCATGGGCCTCTGATTTGATAATAAGTCACCTTATCTTGTATGTATCATCTATAAGAAACACATTTCACTGATGACCTGCAGGGGCAAATTTCATCTTCACTATGCATTTCAACATGCTACTCATTTTACAAAGTCATTTGGTAGATTCCCTTTAAAGAATAAGAATAAATAGAAATTCAGTCCATCCAAACACAGTTTAATTACTGCTGCTTACCGAAATTGTAAACCTTTGAATCAATGATTGATTGATTGATAGGGGCAATCATTCACTGATGTCACAACAGCTATTCCAGGTAGTTCACTTGAAGAGAGGATATCCGTGCATTTGCAATACATATATTCGATTTCAAAGGTTCATTATAATGACGACAGTGATGATGATCCAATTTATCAGTGAGATCCTCTTCTTTGATTTGATGTTTAGGACTCTTTATAAATGGAACTCTCACTTTTCTTGATTACTGTCAACTGATTTTACACACTAACCTGTACAACAAATACAACAGGAGTAGAGAAAAAAGTGGAAGCACGTTAACGACAACATAAAACGACTTAGGAAACATCAGCACCGATGACTACAACCACAACAACAGCAATGTCGATGATGATAAAGTACTTGAGCTTCTAAGAGGATAAACAGCAACGATAACTACACTGCTATGACAGATTTTGATCCTCAATTATTCAGAGTAATGCATGAATAACACTTCTTAAACAGGTTTTACTTACCTTCGATAAATGAGGACTCAAATGAAAATGACGGAACTCTGTGAGCACACAACCACGTGGATTTTGGGTTAATAAATCCTCTAAAGGGGCTCTGAATGTCAAGTAGTTGGTCTACTCACAGGATTTTGTTCAGCCTTAAAATGACTGTTCCCTCCATCTATTGAAGCGGGAACGAAGTATTAACCATGACCTATCCAGTGTGACCAAAGAATACAACTTAAAAATCATGTGTGATTTCGTCCCTTGGGTTGCGAGTGGAGCATAGGGTTGCAACAACACACCACCACTTTGTTCTACTTTCTACCATCCACTTCTACTGGGTCAATAATTGCCCATAACCCCTCATCTCCTCCTCGTCACACGACATCTTCCATGTCACCCTCGTTTCTAATTGGGATTCCCCTCGAGAAACGGCCTGCATTGAGCGCGATGTCATTCGACGGTTTCCTCAACACATGCTCGATCCATCTCCATTTACTTCGACATATATATTGAGCGATCGGCCCTCGGTTTGTTTGTTCCCAGCCAAAGTGTCTTGCTGCTAATTCTTTCTGGCTGGCCAGTCCTTTGATCTTCAGTATGCAGCCAGAGAAGGCAGCTGTTGATAAAAGTCTGTAACAGGTTGTCCGGAATCCTTTTCGTGATGCACACGCCAAGTTTCTGACCCGTATAGAAGAACTTACAGACTTCAGAAGCACTTACAATAACACTGCAAGATGATTCACACAATGCGACAAAGATAAAAGTAACCAACTATTATACAAACTGGAACCCACTCTATTACTTAACACAAATATATGTACGATCAATACACCAAATGTCGTGGATTCTGCCTTGACGTGCTACCCTTGAAGAACTGTAGGACTTACAGCAGTATGCCTACAACCCTTCTCAGGTTGACGCCCTAAGTTGGAAAATCGTCGCAGAGTTAATTTGGTGACCTCCTTTTATCATCAAGATCACTAACTGTGAATGGTGCCACGCCCATGACATCGTGTCGTGTAATGTAGATGACTAACAAACATACGACGTATATGACCAACCAAGCGAAGGCACTGAGTAATTTACACCAAAGATAATAACATTAAAATAGTAACTTGAAACCTGAAAGGTTTTTATTCGTGCAAGCCAGTTTAACAATTACACTCTTGTACACAGTTGGCTTATCACACTAAACTGGCCATTGACTTTCGTCTCTTTAAACGGACCGACACTAACATAATCACACTATAAGACAAATGGGTACATGGACATCCCTTTCAATGTGGATGACAACACCAACGACGACTGATACGAGTTGATGAACTTAGTGATGCATCAGAAGCTGTTGTTGTTCGACCTTTAGGAGGTTGTCTAACCGCAGGATTACCACCACAGCTACCTTTTATGATTAGCTCCAGCTTAGCATTACCATCTGTCGATAGGTGGACTACACACTGATCACTTACACTGACGGTCTCATGAGTATCCATACCTTCTGCAACCGCATCTGCCCTTAATTCTACTTCACGTTCAAGTTGTACAGAACCTTTGTCTGACTCAGTAGTAGTAGGCATTCCGCTCGTCTAATCATGATCAGCCAAAGAAAAATGTGCACTATCATGATCATTATCACAAATACTCATTTCATCACCGTTTATATGGTCGACTTCATCATTTTCAACCTCTTTAATAACAGCAGTAGATGACTTAGGTTCTTCCTCATGAATCCTTAAATGTTTCATACCTTTACTCTGACTAGTAATACCTTGTAAACTTGTGGAGTCATAACCTGATTTCACATTTCGCTTACCACTAAACTTGTTCACTGCTTCACAGTTCGCTTTTGTATGCACTTATTGCAAACGTGTAAAACACAACCGTGTTTGTTTCACAACTTGTAACCTATCTGTTGGGGACGTCCCACGAAAGCTGTCACATTCATTAAGTTTATATGGATCACTAGACACCATATAGCTTTCTCGATACTTCTCTGAGACCCTTTCGTCATAAATGACTGCGATTTGCTCTCTGACTTCTTTATTCAGGGATGGGATGAAGTATACTGGCGAACTTGCTCATAGCTTGGTTAACACTGTCTTTCACCAGTTTCAGAATATCATCGAAATTTGGCTCTAAACCTTCACCCTCTATACGAGAGCTTATCTTCACCTATTTCCTTTGCAATCGAGTAGGTAGGCGTCTCGCTATCACCTCTAGGTCTGAACTCGAGTTCAGATTACTTATGCAATTCATCGAAACCAACCTATTCTTGTAGGTCATCAGATTATCCAAAAACTCAGTGAGTGCCTTGGAGTCATCTCGTAATTGACTACCATTACCCTTGACAGCCTTGAATACACTCCTCACAATCATCGAAGGTCTTCCAAACCTTTGACGCATGATACGCATAGCCTCCGTGTATCCCTCTCTAGGTGGCAGAAACTTGCAGCACAGTAATGCACTCGCCGCTCTTCCGGCACAATACCTCAGCAAGTACATTAGTTTCATTCCATCACTTAGTTTCAGACCCTCTAGCATGACTTCGATTTCTTTCGCAAAGTGAGGCAAGTCAGCAGGATTCCCTTCAAAGCACCTGGGCTCGAACTTCGGTGGCTTCAAGCAACTTATCTCCCTCGCTGGTACATCATGCTTGCCCAACATAACATCAGATATAACATTACACACATTAGACAAATCATCAAGACTTACTTTGTCGTCTGCCTCCAAAGTTCTTCGTCCTTTCCTTGGTCCAGGCATTATCGAACTTAACCAGACGACCCAGAGAAGTTGCAAATAACACTTGTCCAAAGAAGACTTGCAGACGCAACGAAAGACGAATCGCCACCAAATACAGCAAATACTTCCAAAAACTATCAGAAGCTGTCAATGTCCAGGTCTAACTACCCTGAACTTAACGCTGTTCTTAAAAGACTTTCAGAAACTATTGTCAATAACCAACGCGAAAAACCAGAACACAAATTGGTGATTCAAGAATCCTATATTCTTGCGCCAACACAGAACCAACCACAAAGTTATTGTACACAAAGTCTAAGGATAAATGTTATAACAATTAATCACATTCATACTTCTGATAGTTTTTCTCTGTCTTCTAACAAACACCGAACGATAGAACGATGACTGCAGTATCGATGACTCCCGCCAAAATATGGAGTTGGGTATGAGCAAACAACCATGAATTGTTCGTTCGTTCTTCAACTACTTTGACATATAGAGTTAATAATACAATGCTATTGTTTGTGTCAAAATGACTTTACTCAGCCAATAACCACCTTTTCTCATATACTTTTCTAAAACGTGCAATTTTTATAATATTTCGCAGTATTTTTAACATTATATAAGTTGAAGGGTTACTTTGCAACGTCTAATGCGTACCGTATGAAAATCGGTCGCGAAAATTTAGCATAACTAGGTCTGTTAACCGGCTGTTTTCTCAAGGATCATAATAAATAATTTTATCACTGATTGTTCCACTACACTTTTTACTCTGCTAAATAGACTACAACTTAGTTGCTGTAATACTGTGGTGAGAGATGTTTGCTAGCCAAACTGGTTGACAGTAATTGAGGTCAAGGTCAAGATGGACAGGCGGATACAGAACTGACACAGCCACAAGAGATGCAAGGTTAACTTTGTGTGAGAAACAACCAATCAACAGACTGTATTTTCTACTAACTTTAACCTACAATAATGTACGTCAAAGTCTATAAATATGTGTTGATTTTCCGTAATAAACGTTCTGTTGCCTGGCCCTTGTCTTCTGTTGTTACAATACTAGCTACTTCTATACTTTATACTTCCTAAACGCAATTTCCTAGGCGTTTGTTACAAATACTGGTATACATGTATGCATGTATAAAGGTGATACTGCTAAGAATATCCTCAGGTATCGATGTATCTGGTGACCTAATGGGAAGCACTTGTCATGAAAGCTATTAATGTGCAGCATACTGTATGATTGGGACGGGCTTAAAGCAACGCAATACTGCAACTACAGTTTGCAAAAAAACTCAGGGCTTAACATCAAAAAAGGAGGGGTTGGGGTGGCACATGCTGATCAGCAGATATGGTAGTGGTGACAAATATGAATCGCTCCAATCTGTAGGACAGCAACATGCATTTTTCGACAGCTTGAGTATCAAGCATTAGTCTAGATCCTTAACTAAATTATGAGGGTTGTACTGATATAAGTTATAAAAAATGCTTTTTCTCCTACCGTCCACAAGCCCACTCAGTTTCTTGTCTAGATCCTACACCATGGGCCCCACAGAAATTCGTGGGACATCTTACAGTTCAGGTTATCCGACGGGATCTAATCTTCCAGATCTTTGAATTCACTTCTCACTGAAATATCAGTTATCTACCTCACAATAATCTTTTTATTTACACACTACTATACTCTATATCCTAACTACCTGGGCTTTTATAAAGGCCAAAATTTACTCTTTCTCCTTTTATGTTACTCCCTTGTAGACTGGTTGCTTTGATTGCCGCTGAAATTTGGTGGTTACCTCAGTGAAGGTCTACAATTTAACACTTATTAGAACTTTTTCTGATTGCTTGTACATTCATCGAACAATTAAAACTTTTGTAAAAGTATTAATTAATGATACTTCAGGATTGTAATTTATAACAACACTGATTGTGCCTGCAAAGACGACACACATTTCTCGTAAACTCACCCGTTTATACGAAATGTAAACGATTATTCTAAATTTCAGGATGTATTTAGAAAGAGGGTCTATTTTGTCCCCTTTAAGACAGGGACTGGCAGCCTAGATAGTTTTCCTTTGCCGACCTCACGAGAGATGTATATAAGGAGGTGAACATATCTCTGGCGATTCTAGTAGGGTCTGTGCGAATCGCCCATAAGGATCTGAAACTCCACGCAGCCACCGCGCGACAGTGTCTCGCAGTTTTTAATCGTGACTTGCTATGACACCTCGATCCAAACGAGTCCGAACTGACGGAAGTGTTATTCCCTCTTGTTCGTAGGAGCTGATGCTTGCGTATCCGATGCGCACGATTGTACATTTCGCAACAGTGACCGGGAGCATCCATTCTCTGGATCACTCTGACAATTTTTTGAGGTCTTCCTGCAATGTGACCGTATCACTGTTGCCCTTCGGCTCTCTCCAGATTTTTAAGTCATCTGCGTATAGGACCATAGGGGAATCGTTGAGAAGAGATAACTCATTGATATACAAAATAAATAGGGGAGGTCCGATTACTTTTCCCCATGGCACTCCACTACGTGCTGCTGTCCAGGGAGAGATATTCGATTTGATCCTAACCCTCTGCCTCCTATCTATGAGGAATTCCCCAATTTAGTTTGGTAAGCTGCCTTCAATACCTAGACTTTCCAATTTCATTAGTAGCCTTTTGTGAGGAACTTTATCTAAGGCTTTGCCGAAGTCCATGAAGGTGACGTCAACGGGTCCTCTGCTGTCTCCTGATTTAACCCAGCTTTCTCTTGCAGTGAGATGTGACAGGAATGAGAGGTTTCTTCGGAAGCCGTGTTGTGCCCTGGATAAAGTTTTGTTGTTTTCCAGATATGCCATGATGCTTTACTTGATGATTTTTTCGAGTGTCTTGATTAAAGTGCTAGTGAGACTAATAGGCCTTTGATTTGAAAGGCTTTGTCTTGTTCCTCCTTTGTGGATGGGTGCTACTATGGCGTCTTTCCAGTCACACGGCAACACTCCATTAGATATCGTAGTCAAAGGGCCGGCTATGTGAATTGACAGCTCCTTGAGAAGCATTGGATGAAAATTATCAGGATCCATTGATTTCTTCTAGTTTCATTAGGCAGTTGAGCACGATTTCTTGGTCGACGTCAACGGAATCTACCCCGTATTCCTCTAATGCAGCCAGAGCTGATCCAATAGGGAGTGATGACTCCTGTGTAAAGACTTGGGGAAGTAGTCTGTCATTGATTCTGCTTTTTCTCGATATTCTTCGATTGTGTCATTGTCAATAGTCAGGTTTGGGACACTATTGGATGTTTTATTCCTGAAGTTCATGTACTTGGGACTCTGTATCAGTTCACTGAGTTGACTTCTGAGACGATTGCATTCATATCAGCTTTCCAAACGTCTAGTCGAAGCAAGGTTTCGGCCCATGACACTGCTGCTGTGAGCTTGAAAGTGAGCACAGAGTGGTCACTTCTTCCTAAAAGAGGAAGATGTTGTATGAGATCCACATCCTCACCATGAGAGAACACTAGGTTCAGGGTTGAATAGGAGTGCTGTGGCATTGGCTTCATGACATGTTAGACTAGGGTTAGCGAAACGCTATATTCTATCAATTTATGATCAAAGGAGTTGTCTAGAGATGGCGTTGCAAGGCTTTTCCAGCCAACTGTTGGGACGTTGAAGTCGCCTACTACGAAACTTCGACACTTAAAAGTTTGGCAGGTTAACCTCGTTGGTAGTGACACCGGATGTGAGCCATGTCTCTGTGATGACAATTACATCCAGATTCCCGGAGTCTATCATATTACTCTACCCAGTCCGTTTATTCAACAGGCTGTGGGCATTTGTGTAGCTAACGGTTAACTCAGTTTGGTGGTTCCGCGGCCTACACCCAAAGATTTCGACACCATCAAACTTCGAACGTCGACAGCCCGAAAATCTTTAATATTTGGGATTTTTCGTCGTTTAGGCCTAGTCCACTTAATCCTAGAGCCACAGGCTGTCTTTCGATGTGGTCTGTTATTCATAATTCGGCACGGAAATGGATGCTCAATACTTCAAGAGTTTGAGAGTTGCTTAGAATGGTATTCCTCTCTTCTTTAGAGTCTAGTACGACCTTAAGAATGCGTACCGCTGATCTACTGTCGAGTCAGGCTTTTGGCCGATTCTATGTGAGCTGATACTGTTGTTGGCAGTTTCTTATCTAGGAGCGGCTTGACCAAGTCGAGATCATGCTCGAACCTGATCTTGTGATCTGAGGCTGGCAACTTGAGGAAAATGATCGACGTGTCATGGCTTTTTTGCTCTGCGGCGTGGGTGTCTTCCCGTCCTTTGCGGACAGTGTGGCACTTATATTGTCCTTATCTCGCCTTTCGCGAGAGACTGCATTACGCCATCCATTGGTGTCCTCGCTAACCGTAGTCAATTATGTCTGCCTGCTATCCAACGGTGGGGATGGGGCTTGATCTACAAGTCCCTGGGCGACCTTGGCTGTGAGTTTCCGACCACTAGTACTCATATTATTCGTGCCAGTCTTTCAATGGTTGTTACTGGATGGCTTGTCCGGTATCATATGGGCAGCATGGGTGTCTTGAATATGGTGGGTGCCCTTCTGTGCTAGAGGGCACTCACTTCCTGACAAAGACGCAACATGAACGTGTATTGTTTTGCGTATGACGCTAGTCAGTGTTCGAGCAGTAGTTGCTCTTCTCCTGAGGACCCTTGTAGTCCAGGAGCTTTAGAACCCCACTGAGAGATGCAATGCCTTTCATAAGAAACTTAGTCGTACTACAGCAGTCATTGCACAGGCAGTTCGCTGGTGGTTTACAGCAGCGCCTGTATGCTGCAGGAGTTAGGTTTGTGCACATGATATAAAACCGTCCATTGCAGTTATCATACTGCATTCCCTCTTCAACTGGGGATCGGCACATAACTCTTCCACAGAGGTTCCTTTAGACAGGCACGCTTTTCAGAGTGAATTGGGATAAATAGATTCGAATGTGACCTTATAAATGTGACTTTTATAAATCAGTGATAAAAAAAACC